ACTGAGTTTAAGTTATCGCCTGTGTTGATACATAGTTAGATAAAATGACAGTTCTCTCTTTATTGGCAAATTAATTGATGAAAATAATTAAAAACGGGCATACCGCCTCAGTGCTTGTCAAATCATCGGACGATATTGCATATAATGAGGGCAATTTACACGCACGGGTAATTAACTTGTAGTTATATAGCAGACTAGTGTAAACAGGTTTCTTTTAAAAATGACCAGTGCTTACCGACGCCTATTCACCGAGTTAAAAAACGACACGAGTTCTCAGAAAAAAGTTCTTCACATGTTGATTTATTTTTAAGAAAAATATATTTGCGAATGCAATGTACGCGCAAATTTGCTAAAAATTTATCTACAGTAAAAATTTCCAGATTTACGGTAATATACTGCAGCAGAAAAGGGAACATGTGGCAGACCAGAACATGCAAAAAGGGGGGTTAAACTTCTTCTAAAATTATTAAACTTGAAAAAAATGTTTCAACCCCTTTCTCTGGTTTTTGAAAAAGAGTAGGTATACTGGGGTTCACCAGAGAAGCACAGAAACTTTAAAACTCCAAAAATAAATTCAGAATGGAACACAAACTTTAGACACTATAAAGAACAATATTCAAACAATATGATTTTATTTCCCTTAAGAAAGAAAAATACCTTTGCAAAATGAAGGTAGCTAGGCCTAGTATATGATATTTAATATTTACATTGTCAGATTTGCAACAAATTTTGGAAGAAATTTAAGAATTTCAACGTTTCCCTCAAAACACCTAGATTATTGATTTTTTTGTTTGTTTTTTCTGTAATGGAGCATCAAAAACAAAGGTACATGAAGACACAAAACATAGATTAAAAAAATGAAATGAACTAATGTACCTTCACCATCTGCTTAATTTTCTGTGGTTATTCTTCATATCTGCATTTTCCATTCCATTACAAATTAATCATTCAATAGATTGTCTGTATGATATTTCTTTACACTGCTTTAATCTCCATGTATGTTTTAAGGAAGAACAATTTTGACACAACTCCCCTTCAAATTATTTAAAATGCCTTTTACATGTACTGTGTAGCCGAATCCGTAAAAACTGAGTAATTTTCATTTAAGCCTGCATTCTTGAAAAAAATGCTTCAGTGGTCATTAACACCTTTTCTTTTTTCTAACATCGGACTGTCTCAGGTAAATCAAAAAGCAATGTTTTAAGTACGGTAGAAGGTATATGTATTGGATATATGCCTCATAGAGTTCTGTATTAAAAAAATCAGACAGTTTGAGGCCCGATAGAGCCAAAAACTGATATATTTTTAATACAGAACTGTATGAGGCATATATCCAATACATATACCTTCTTTACCAATATAGCGCTCATGTGATTCGATACCCAAGAGTATGTTCTATGCATACATATACAATTTCTAAAACGGGGTAAATTACTGACAAAAAAGTTAATGAAACAAGAATATCAGTTTTGTGTAAAGTCATAATAAGTTCTATGGTTGATACAGTGACCTTGTCATCAAAAACAATGTATCATTGAGTCAAATGCTGACTGACGTTTTTCATTCTAATTGTAAGGCTATTATTTACACACTGAGTTGTCGGCGGATTTTACCGTTCTTTACCGATCAATAGAAGATCGGCAGGGGATCCTCCATATTCCGTAGCTCCTGACCTTATACGCACCTCTCATGTTTTGGGTGTCCGTATTTGTTCTGCTCCAATTTTGTATTGTTTAATGGGCTTTTGAGATTAGATACTGTTTGTTTTTCTTGCATATTTCATTATAAACAAAATTTGATAATAAAAGAAATTATTTAATACTGTTTTTCAAATAAGATGCGTAAAAATAATACTATTGAAAAAGAACGGAAATATCATTTGCGTAATTAATAACAATAACGCGCTTTCATTTGAATTTTACAATTTACGAACAATAAAATATTATAGTATTTTGTCTTTGTCAATTTTTTGAAGTACAAGAGAAGCTTCCAGGGAATACAGGGACCGCACTGATGGCCGGGGTGTCTACGTTTCTCGTGCTTAGTGCCCTAGTTTTTGGTGTCGCCGTGTTTTTGTACCACAGAAACCTAAAACAACGTATGTCGTCATGGGAGCTTTATGAAAATTTTCAATTAATTCTCCTTTTTCCCGAATCATGAATTTTTAAAGTAAGAATACAAGGAGTAAAAAGCGTTAAAACAATTCTTATATTTTATTTATTTACAGAAGGTGTTGATAGGAACCAAATTCTCCAGAAACATGCATTGTAAGTTTAAATCTGTAAAATTCGGCGTCCTTTTCTGACTGAAACGTCTTGGTACCAATATTGAGACCACATTTTACAAAAATTCTCTAAGTTTTTAGCTACTTTTTTATCAGTCTATTGATAATCTTTGTCTAATTGATAAAGGAATGGATTGGGAGAGACCAACCACACTGCAGACCTGTATGTAGAAGTGCCTTCAGAAAATAATGAGGATGGTATTTAATCTAATAATAAATGCAAGGAAAGTGTAAGTAGGTTGACAAATCAACTCTTATTACAAGTAAGTAAGGTACAGTAAGACATTTTTGAAAAAAAAAAACAAAAGATGTGTTTGTGAAACACTGATGCCCCCGTATGTAAAATTTTCTCAAATTTATAAAAATCAAACATGATGATACCAAAGTGACGCCTTCTCAAAGAAATAAAAATGTATGTGAAATATAAAACCCTAGCACCACCTGATCAAAATTTATGGCCCAGGTAAACGTATTTAAAGTTTAACTCCAGGGTCAAAGTTATTTGTTTCTAAAGAAAGGCATTGTCACAAAGATTATAAATGGAATATGGTAAGTATGAATGTCCTAGCACCAATGTAGTTCAAACGTTACTGCCAATGTTAAAAATTTTAAAGAGTATGTCAAACTCCAAGGTCAAAGGGTCAGAGTTCTTGATATCCAATGGAGGGTCTTCTCACAAAGATTACATATGTGAAGAATGAAAGCCCTATCCCTTAACGTTCAAAAGTTATAGCCAAAGTTAAAGTTTTTTTCACAAGTACGGAAATCTCCAAGGTCAAGGTCAAAGTAATTGGTATCCAATGAAAGGCATTCCACAAAGAATACAAATGTTTAGTATTGAAATCTTAGCCTTAACCATTTCGAAGTTATGGCCAAGGTTAAACATTTTAAAAATTAGGTCAAATCCCAAGGTCAAGGTCAAACTGTCAAAGGTCTTGCTATCAAATCAAAGGTCTTGTCACAAGGATTAAATATGTAAAGTATGAAAGCACTAGCTCTAACCCTTTAAAAATTATGGTTAAGGTTTGCTTTTAAAAGTTAGTCAAACTCCAAGGTCAAGGTCAAAGGGTCAAAGTTCTTGGTATCCAATAAAAGGTCTTTCCTCAAAAATTACATGTGTGAAGTATGAAAGCTGTATCCTATACCGTTCAAAAGTTATGGCCAAGGTTAAAGTTTTTATACTAGTACGGAAATCTCCAAGGTCACGGTCAAAAGGTCAAGGCTGTTAGTATCCAGTAAAAGGTCTTTCTACAAACAATACATATGTGAAGTATAAATGTCCTGGTGTCTACTGTTTAAAAGATACGGTCAATTTAAAAGTTTGGAATTTTTGTGTAAAAGTGGGTCACACTCCAAGGTCAACGTCAAAAGGTCAAATTTGGTGGTACCCAATGAAAGGTCTTGTCACAAGGAATACACATCTGAAATATGAAAGTCATAGCTCCAATAAATCAAAAGTTATGGGTAAAGTTAAAGTTTTTCCGGACAAACAGCTAAACAGACAGACAGACAGACGGACACGACAAAAACTATATACCCCCGAAACTTCGTTTCGGGGGCATAAAAAGTTTCATATGTTAATAGAATTACTTAATATTTAAGTCTACAGAAATAAAGGATATTTAGAACTATAAACAGGCTTAACAGTTTTGGAAACAGGTCGTTGCGTCACCTAACGTTAAGCGATTTCTCCGTAAATCCTATTATCTCAAAGTTAAAATCATAGAAAATCTAAAACAATTAAGGAAATGGATCTGATTTTTATGCCTCCGTAGTTTCGGGAGGTATATAGTTTTTGTCGTGTCCGTCCGTCTGTCTTGCTGTCTGTCTGTTTGTCTGTTTGTCCGCAAAAACTTTAACCTTGCCTATAACTTTTGATTTAGTGGAGCTATGACAAATCAACTCTTATTTATCTGATCTGCATTTGAGAAAGCTTATCCTTCGTTATGTTGCCATACGGGTGCATCATTGTTTCACAAACACATCTTTTTGATATACAAATAAACAGAATATAATAATTTAATTAAACATATGTCATTCTAATCTTCCAAAACGTGTTACATTTTCCGTAAATTAATTTACGTGCCTGCGAACCCTCGTTCACTGATATAGCATAATGACTGAAGATAAAGTGTTAGTAAATATGCCTTCCTTGTCGATGAACATGTACAAAATCAAAGAGATATATTTATGATTCTTTTTTATTTTAGATAATTATTTTTTAGAATAAACTATCAGCTTTTTTTAAATATTGCAACTTCAATTTTTACTAGAAAACAAGTAAAGTTTTTTAAAAAGCTTACCGTCTTTAGCAACAATCTTAAACAGTAAACTGATCTACACCTATCAGGCCGTATAATTCTTTTAAATTTCTTGATTTTCATGCCCCCGTAAACGAAGTTTCGGGGGTATCTAGTTTTTGTCATGTCCGTCTGTCTGTCTGTCTCTCTGTTTGTATGTTTTTGGCAAAAACTTTAACATTGCCCATAACTTTTGATTTAGTGGAGCTATGACTTATATTTCATATGTGTATTCCCTGTGACAAGAAATTTCTTTGGGTACCACCACAGTTGATCTTTTGACCTTGACCTTGGAGTTAGACCCACTTTTACATGAAAATTTTAAACTTTTACTTTGGCAATATCTTTTAAACAGTAGATACCAGGACATTAATACTTCACATATGTTATTTTTGTTGAAAGACCTTTCATTGGATACCAACAAACTTGACCCTTTGACCTTGTAGATTTCCGTACTTGTGAAAAAACTTTAACCTTGGAAATAACTTTTAAACGGTTAGGGATATGGCTTTCATACTTCATATGTGTAATTCTTGTGAGAAGTCCCTTCATTGGGTACCAAAAACTTTGACCCTTTGACCTTGACCTTTGAGACTGACCTACTTTAAAAAAGCAAACCTTGACCATAACTTTTAAAGCATTAGGGCTAGTGCTTTTATACATTTCATATTTAATTCTTGTGTAGGGACCTTTCATTTGATAATAAGAACTTTGACACTTTGACCTTGGAGTTTGACCTACTTTTAGGAAAATGTTACCTTGGCCATAACTTCTGAACAGTTAGGGTTAGGGCTTCCATACTCTAAATAAGTATTCTATGTGGCAAGACCTATTATTGCATACCAATTACATTGACCTTTTGACCTTGGAGATTTTTGTACTTCTTGAAAAAAAAATTAACATTTGCATACTTTCAAATTTTACAATTGTTTTCCAGTGAGAATACCCTACTTTTGGTACAAATTAATCAAATTTGCATTTAAGAATAGTTTAATCTTTGTTATGTTGTCATACGGGGGCATCAGTGTTTCACAAACACATCTTGTTTTTTTCTACATTAGCTTTTTACTCGCATTAGCCCTACCACGGTTGTCGCTCGGTCATCTCCGTAAACTTTGACTGGCCGAGAGCTTTCGGCAAACCTCGGCTGATTCCATTACTTTCTTCAACAAATAAGGGGGAAAGAATAACAAATTGTAAAGCCTGCTATCAATAAAAATCAAATTTTATTCACAATGAAATTAAAGAGACCTTTTTAGTTATTACTATAAAAAAATATCATGTTATTAAGAATTGATAACTGCTGATGTGGTTGTTCGTTTTGTCATTTTTTTAAGATTGAAAAACTTGCAAAATTGTTAAGTCGTGTTCGAAAATTAGATCATCAGAAAGTTATCTCCCTTGCCTTGAACAGCATTTCAACCAATGAAATACTTAGTATTGAAAAGGTTATCATCATGCAATTTCTACCAATCACAAAAGAAAGGAAGTGCATAGTCCGAAGACTGTAAAAAACTTCAACTATATAATATATACATTTGTGGTATCTCTCCATTATACATGTATAAACATACAGAGAATAATCTTCAATTCTGTAATAATATCTACCGGTACATCAGTATGAAATGACTTGCTGTAACGTTACATGTATAAAAATGAACAAAATAAGCAAGTAAAATAATAATTATTTTATTCACCATGTAAACAAGTATTTCATACAGTTTTTTGGCTATCGATTTAACCTCTGTACATAGAGATTATATACCGATAGAAGCTAGATCTAGCCTTTGTAACTGTAAGTTTGTTTACAAGTTTTATATCACTTTTAATAATAATAACATGATTTTCTCTCACTCTAGGTAGACATAGCAAACCAACACCGTTTACAACCAGGAATCTCTTCCAAAGTACCTGTATTTGAAAAATATTTAATCCATACTATCCTTTCCAGCATTTTGTCAAACATCCTTCAGTTTCTTGCTATGAAACGTACTTATTTCTGATTTTTTAAATGTACTGCTTGGATGATGATTAAATACTGGTGGGATTGAGAGGTGTGTAAAAATGTATATAGATGTTAAATTTATGTTGAATGAGATGTACGTTGATAAAAGGAGTAACACCAAGACATTCCAGGTATATGCATAAATGTTTAACAATAAAATAAAAGAAAAACAAATTACATCAAATGTGAAACCTGTTAATTAAAACACCAAACAAAACTCTTCATCTAGAAAGGTCGTATTTATAACTGAAATCTTATTTTTCTTTCTCGACTTTCCAATTTCGTTTTATAGCAGGATAAAACCAGCTAGAAAGATAAATAGAAAATTGTATTTTTGTTTGAAAATACTATCCAGCGAGACATTGCAGAGAAAGTGATTTTTTGTAATTCATTGTCGATATGACAGTTTAAAACAGAAGTACACATTTTTATATTAGACTGAGTTGTTTAAGATAAAGCATTGTTCAGAGAACATTGTCTTCTGTAACTAAAAAACACTTACTGTTTTTTGAAGTTCTTTGAAAAATGTTAATATGAATTATCAGAAATGGCGAGTAAAACAAATGAACATAAATGAAAAATGATAAATGTTGCTTTTAATTATCTATAAATCAATTTGAAGCATAATCCTCCATGATGGTCATGTTCTCTATAACTATATTCCTTCTGGACACGTTATTACTGGCGATATTAATATAGTAAATAATTAGGACCTTAGTTCACTACATTTAGAAGGTCCTAAATCAAGGGAACCCCGATCCTTCAATTTGCTTCGTAAATTTCATAAAAACTATGAATTTTGTAGAAGATTACTCCAAGCGATGGACCAGAAATGAAAAAAAAAAACATGACACTTTGTCAGAATAGATTAAATATATCAGACCGCACATTAGTATCTGTAATATCCATCTTGTACGCAACATTTTGGGTTCATTTAACGTGACCTTAACTATAAGGTCATAAGAGAAAAGTCAAAACACCCAAGAAGTAAGTCAATGTCCCCTCAGGGCTTCGAAACAATACGTTTTCTACTACTATCAGTTTGATTTTTTTGATCTTATAATTAATTTTATATTATGTTTTTTTCTGTGTAATTCAGATTATTTCAACGATGTTTTTGATGATAAATTAAATTTTATGTCTCTATTTGTTTAGTCTTGTTATATCTTTTTACGCTCATCTAACAAAATCCAGCATAACGAAATTTAGTCAGAGGTTTGTCTTCCAGGTCTGTTGATATGAGTTAATGGTTCAAATGACTCTTTAACTGCTTTAAACACGATAAATTCTGAAAGACATAAAATAAATTACTGGCTGCGGTAATTTTTTTCCTCTTCCGTGACATAACAGCAGTCATACATCACAAAAGAAATGTCTGGTTCCTGCAAAAGACACATGTTTCAAAGTCTACAGGATCGTTCAAATGATAACGAGAGAAGTGTACCTCACATATGTTTAAAAAGAGTCGTTGGTGAAAAAAATATACATTGATGATATTTCAGCCTTGCTTTGACTGCAGTTTTAATATGAATAAATAAAGACGTGCATTAGAGACAGTTCTTTAATAATTAATTATGCATTTATCCAAATAATACAGTCTCTTAAAAACTAAAACGAGTACATCCTTTTCTGAAATTTGAGAGTCAAATTAATATGTAAATATTGTGCATTTAGGTCTTTTTTGAAAATAATGCTCAAGTTTGAAATAACCCTGACCAAGTGATCTAATATAAAGGTCTTCGGTGTACAATTGGACACACAGGCAGAAAATAGAAAATTTAACCAAATTTCCACCCACTCTACAATGCCATTCCGCAATCGTCATGTTTCTCACAACCTTTTCTATTCCCACCTACACTATCAAAAACTCAGTTAACCGAAAAAAAATCTCACTTTATTGGCAGCTTTTCCCAGAAAATATTACGTAATTCAAAATTCCTAGATTTTTGTGCTGCTTATTACCAGACATTGATTATAAGATAAATTCAGTTACCCTCACTGTCGTTTAAACGCTTAAGAACTTTGGTTTTTTTTATTGTTTTGGTGTCTGCAAATCTCCTTTTTTTGCATGTCGATTTACTTCAGGTTCTACTACAGTATATATCCCAACCATTGTTGTGTTTTGTGACTCACTCACGGTTTTTCATTTTTCAGTTAGATCTCTCTTTGGAAATTAAATCCCTCAATTTTACTTTATAGAGTAATAAATCAAGGGATATCAAAATATGAACTTAAATGAAATATCTTATATATGTACATTAGGGTTAAATGCTCTAACGCTATAATGTGTGATTATTTCTTTTATAATGTATTTGGAGTTGCCCATATATACATAGAATGTCATTGTACATTTTGTAAATAGTATTTACTCAACATAACAGTTGACCATACAGACATGTTATACTCAAATAATTTAATTTTTTTTGTATTCTTGCCTCTCATTGGTTGATTTCCAAAAAAAAAAAACGCATACATTTTGTATAATCTGGTTTGGTATGGGGACACACCCCCTTGACAACCAGCTGAATCATCTGTATTCATCATTCCCCTCATTTCCAGTCCTTGCGATTCATGGAAAATTCCAGATTTAATGAATGTACCTTAAATTTCAAACAGTTGCTCGATCTTACCTCATGTAAACAAGCATCATGGCTGCTAGATCTATGTATCAGTTTTTACCTCCCCTCGCTTCCCATCACTTCCGTTACTACGGTTGTATTATTGCGCGGTAAATTTGAACTCATAAATACAACACAATTTTACTTCCCCAGTTGTTTAATTATTTTAAAATAAATTTTAAGGAATGACTCTAACTCTTGGCCAAATTATCGCGGTTTAGAAAGCGTAAACTGACTCAAACCATATTATACTCGATAATTTGGCCAAGAATTAGAGTCATTCCTTAAATTTTACAAGTGTTGTCATCAAATATATCTGATGTAAATATATCAAACCTCCTTCAAAAAGATCGTCTCAACGAAACAATAATATTTTTCATTCAATGAATAATTGAAACTTCAGTTTGAACGCGTTGCAACGAAAATTACGTCCAAACGAACAAGACAATTCGCAATGACAATAAATACTAACTCCAGGTAATAAATGATTTTATAGTTGTAGAATTTAAAATTTTTCATGTCAATGTATTTTCTTGCTTACAAGAACTGCGATTAATTTTATTGATGCCTTTGAGTTTGTAATCTTTTTCTACAGCCTAAATGTAATAATAATTTTTATACAAACCACGAGGAAACATAATAACTATGAAATATTATTTAAGGAATGATTTTTCTTGAAATTCTCTTACTTTCAACTTTTAAAAGCATTCATCGTAAATTAAATACTTGTATTTTTGGAAATAAATTGTAAATTGTATATGATAAATTATATCATACAGTTGTTATTGTCAGAGCCATCAACGAAACGATGCAGATTGATCAATATGCTAAAAAAGTATGGATTTCAGAATTTGTGCCCTCTTCACATGTTTCTGTTGTTGATTTACAATTTTTTTAGAATGACTACTGTTTGTTATCTGTGCCTTTTATATTTTGGAAAAAATAAAACTACTGCCCTCAATTTTCCTTTCTGAAATTTAATTGAAATGCTTCTTGCATAACATAATCCTTGTTATATAAATCACTTTGATTTCTTCAGCTTACGTCATAGGATAATGCCTTTAGTTGTAGTCTGAAATGCGGAGTATCATTAAATTATTTTTCGAGAAATTAGTCCTATATCTAGTTGCGTAATTCATGTCACAAAGATAAGATTTCTGCAACCACCTAATTTAAACAGATAGCAACTAGATTTCTAGGAAAAAAGTTTTTTTAAATGCGTCCTATATTTTCAATGTTGAACCACCAAGTAAGTCCTTCTTTAATACCAGTCACACCTCTATCAAAGGTTATTGATTTCAATCGCTCATTATAACCATGCAAATAGTTTGTCTGCTTTTTTCCAAGAAGAGAGAAAAATATATTCAAATGACATCAATTTTGATACATGGCAAGCAAATCTCCAAGATACATCTGCCTATATCCTAGATTTTCTCAAGTAGAGTGTTGCCTTCTCTTAATACGAATGCAAAGGTAGCTAAACACAGTTTCGTATAAAATCCAGGGGGGTTTTCCCAGAGAGAAGCATGCTGGGTAGGAATTTTCCTGCTATTTAAAGGAGTCTAGATGAAAACTGCATCTTTTTTGTTTTTATTCGCATGAAGTAAAGTCTTATCTTAATATTTAAAGAAAAAAAATGTGCATTCATTTTTAGAAAAAAAAAATTTGTGAGACTTTTTAATAGGGGGAAATAACTCCCAAAACATCCGGTTTTCACATGTGCAGAAATGCAAGAGTCAATTAGCAGGTAATGTAGCTCTTTCAAGAGGTGGAAAATGTACCCTAAAAGCACACTAAAAGAAAACCTTAGGACTTGTTCTGTGAAATGCACATAACTTATTTTGTCAGATTTTTTTTGTTTTTGTTGAGCAGGGAGGTTAAAAATGCATAGGTGCACTGAAAATGGATGCATAAACAACCCAATATCCCCCATGTTTCAGGTGTCAAATACCCCCTAGTAGTAATTGATGAATGTATTATAGTTAGATATTTATAAAATTCACAATTTTGTCTTTCCATTGATATGCAGAAGTCTATGTAACAAGCTTCCATTTTATTTCTTTACAGGGGTCAGTTTTGCTTGTCCCTCACCAAGTAACGTCCTGATAACGTCATACATAAAACTGTGTTTTGCACCCAAATAGTTGTCAGTGATATGTGCAGGAATATAGAGAATTGCATAAATAAAGATGATCTTTATTAAATCTTTCATATATTTATTTACATAAAATAACGCCTTTCCATTTTCCTAACTTTTCAAGTAGGCCAGTAGTAACAGTGCGAACGGGGTACCCCCCTCCACACATACACTCTTTTTTGGGAAAAGTCTTGCTACAGTTTAAATATTATAATTAATTATTGGTTGCTTGGTTCCTGAACATTTTGTTGCAGTATGTAAAACTGTGGCAAATTATTGCATTTAAATAAAGTTTTACCGAGAAGTCTCCCCACTAAATTGGCCAGTAGAAGGGGGGGGGGGTATTGAAAGCACGGGCCTGTAAAATGCAAAAAAATGGTTATTCAAGAAGCGAAATAACCTTTTTTATAACGCCTTTTTTCGCGTTTTTACGCCTTTTCAAAAGATCAAAAGTCCATAAAATAATGCAAAATATTGTTTATATTTAAGATACCGAATTCAGCATGGATTATCAATCTTCATAAAAATTCTTACAACCAAAGGTACATAAGAAGCTCTTATAAATGTTCTAACAATCCTCTTTCTTTAATATTTACCAAAATATTAACGGTGGTGAAGGAGAAACAACATGATTACTTTACAAAACATAATGTGATTGATAAGTTGTTGATACTTAAAAATCAATTTTTTGGGGTTTATGATTTGTTTTGTTTTTGTATTGGGAATTTTACGAACTATTGCAAATATAAATAGAATTAGAACAAAGAAAAATCATTATTTTATACACTGATTCCAAGCAATGATTTATTAGAGTCCATTTTAATGTCAAAGACTTCGGCTTCGTAAAAAAATACATATGAATTAAGTAATTATTGTCATATGTTCATTACAAAGCTATAGAACTTACGAAATGATGACTTTATACGAAACTGCTGATATTCCTGTTTCATCAACTTGTTTAACAATAATTTACCTCGTTTTAGAAATTGTTCATTTAAAGAGTGTGCTCTTGCCTATCGAGCCAACTGAGATATATAAACTCCTCATGCAGGTGAAGAAGGTATATTGCTGCATAAGTAAGGGAAGTTGACGATAGAAAAGTTAAAATCAACACGTTTATCATGGAGTTTGGTTGTTAGATGACCATTATGTACAACTTTTAAAACAAGGTAAATTATTGACAAACAAGTTGATGAAACAAAAATATGAGCAGTCTCGATTAAAGTCTCGTTTTAGATTTTTTTTTTCATTCAAAGAGCATGTCTGAAGGTGAGGTGAGATCGGTATACTTGTTATATAAATAAGGGAGTTGACAAAAGACAACTTGAAGTCATGTTAGCATTTTTATGAACATCATATTAAGATAAGTTCAGCATGTATCTTTATAACAT